TTTCTTGATAAACTTAATAGATTTTGGAAATTAAAAAAAAAAAAGAATACACTTTTTATTGTGGGTATATTCAGAATAAGTTAAATATTAATTGCTGATTGTTGCACCTACGTGGCTACTACTTATCTTTTTTTGGGTTGCCATTTTTGGCTCACACCTAAAACATAAAAATAATTCCAAGGAAGCTAACAGTCATTGTGTAATGTATATTTGACACAAATGCACACCCTCTACCAAACTATATTACTGCAGCTACCCACATTTATATAAACCTGGAAATAAAAATACAAGACAGAGAAAGAAAGAATGCTTCATTGACTGTGTGAGGATTTGCTTTTTCATTTATGAGATAAATATGTCCACCTTTTATTTTATAATCCAAAAACTTTTTATCATTTTTTTTATTAGTATACAGTTTAATCAAACTTCAAAATTTAAATTTCTAATGACATTTATCTAAAAATTTAGTCCAGCCACATCTGTTGATCGTACTTCCATTACTAATTTAAGTACAATGGAAAAAATTTAATTAAAGATATTAAAATCTTACCAACTTTTTTATATTATTGAGAAAAATATATAATAAATTTTTTTCATTGGAAATACATTTATTTCCATTTCACCATCGATAATGTTATCTTAAGTCAGGATAACATTAAATGAAAAGAAAATTTGGTGCTTTAATCATGGATAGTATATGATAAATTAGCTACTCATCAATATATGCAAAAGCGTGAAAAAGACAAATAAGCTAATCCAAATCCACAGAAATTTGCCAATTCACCAAAGGGGATAAGGGGCTTTTTCTCCATTACCCGATAAGAATCTATTGAAATATAAAAAATCTTTTGCCTTCGTTTAATTTAACACTATCATCATTTTTTTTTTTTTTTTTTTTTTCGTTTAATTTAACACTATCATCTTTTTTTTTTCTTTTTTTTGTATCCACGTTGATGGTTTTTTTTTTTTTTTTTTTTTTTGTATCATTTGATGGTTGAAGTTTCTGCCACCTGGGAGGCATCTGTTGTGGATCACTTTATTATCTTTTCTTTTTATCAAAATATCTAAACTTGAGATGATATCAAATCAGAAAGAGTAAAAACAGAAGAAAAAAATTAAGTATATAGGGTTAAATTATGAATTTAATATTTGATATAAAAATACATACGGACCGACCCTTTATTTTTGAAAAATAATTTATTTAAAATATATTCTTCACATTTCTTTTATAATTGTATAAAGTATTCAAATCCATATCTGTTTTAACGGAACACGAAACCTAAATAATCTCTGCATGCCCTTGGAGACAAAGAGATTGACTCGAGGAGAGTTTGTGTTGTGAAAGATCAAACTGATAACCTAAACCATTATGACTAACCACGCAAGTGTTTTTCACTACTGAATTACCCCATTCGGGCTACATCTTATAGGATTTACTGTGCTAAAAAAATGAACGTAAAATATTTTTTGATTAAGAAGAAATAAAAAGTCATTTTAAAGAAAAATACTCCCTTCATACTTTTTATATAGGAACAACTAAATTTTCACCGAGATTAAGAAAGTAGTTTAACCAACTTTTTTTGTCATTTTTTTTTCTAATTTACTCATAATATATCATTTATTCCTCCTCTGTTTAATATATATTTAATATATATATATATATACTTATTATTATATATATATATTTATATATATATTACTCTATATATATATACTATAAAGCCACAGCGGGTTTTTCCTTTATATATAAAGCACACGGGTTTTCCTTTGGTGCTGCCATGTAGAATTCTAAATAAGTGATATGCGTAATTTTTATAATTAGTTAGCTTTATATTTATTCAAATTACATAATAAATAACATGTGCTTTAGTCATTTGTCTTTATATTTATTTGAAAATAAATTAAATTTATGATTATTTATTGATTGAATTAAATTATATTATATTTTGTATAATTGATTAGTATAAGTAGTTTTTAATGATATCAATAAATGACTTAACTTATGAATTTAAATGATAGCATGATTATTGATATATACTAATTTTAAAATAAATAATTTGAAAATAAATTAAATAAATTTTTTTACATTAAATTGTATTAAATGTGGTGGGATTATCATATTTAAAATGAATTACTTAATTTATAAATTTTAGTGATGTTGGGAGTAACTTTTTTTTAGTATTAATTATAAAATAAATCAAACTAATTAATTCTCTTTTTATTTTTTTATTTATCTTTATAAATTCCACTATTTTCAATGCATGTTTATCCACTAATTTTCATTCTCATTATTAAAAATCATGAGTGCATTTTTATTATTCATCTATTTTTATTTATATATTTTAATAACATAATATAAGAAATTTTACTCAAAAATTATAACAAGCTATATACATTATATTATTTATTTTTAATATTTTATAAATTTTTTTAACCGTGCATATCACACAATATTGCTAGTATCAATGTATATCTTAAATTATGTTTTAATTTTCAACGAGGCTTTAAATGCTTTGTTGGAATGAAGGAAATATTTGTTGGAATGAAGGAAATACAAATAATTACAAAAATGAAATTAATACTCTAACCTGTGGAGAGAAATTCATTTTTTATCCTCTATTTAAAAAAATTATGTGGAAATATGAAAATTTATACTCATTTAACCTGCCAACCGGCCTTTGGTTATTAAAAACGTACTTTAAATATTATGCAATTTTTAAAATATTCGGTAAACTTCATAAAAATCCCTTTTAATGTGATCAACTTGAAAATTTTATGGTTATTTTCTATTCAAATTCCATTTTAACGGGTGCTCATATAACCTATACGAGCATATTTTTTTTCAATGGAAATTGATGTAAACAAAATATGAAAATTTATACTCATTTAACCTGCCAACCGGCCTTTGGTTATTAAAAACGTACTTTAAATATTATGCAATTTTTAAAATATTCGGTAAACTTCATAAAAATCCCTTTTAATGTGATCAACTTGAAAATTTTATGGTTATTTTCTATTCAAATTCCATTTTAACGGGTGCTCATATAACCTATACGAGCATATTTTTTTTCAATGGAAATTGATGTAAACAAATCCATTCTCCAATATTTATTCACATTAAATGCTCATATATACCTTTATCTCCCACTATTTTAAGAATCTCCCACACTAAAAGATTCAAAAAAACTAAAATAAGGGTAAGATAGACTTTTCATATTGACATGGTTTCAAAATTACTAAATTAGTCAAAATTTTCTATATATAAAAAAAAAAAAAAAAACCCAAATTAAAAATTTTTCTATATAAAAGAAACAGAAGGAGTATCACAGTAATCTTATAATTACACGTTTATTAATCCACCAACTGCTGAAAATTATCGTTCGTTATCCTTATCATTGCTGATTACCATATGTTACTGGCCATTCCGTTCCAAGAACATATAGATGTTACTGGCCATCACTATTGATCATTGGGATTGCTGTCCCGTTATTGATAACCACCACAATTTATTTTTATATTTAGTAATAAATTTTAAATATTTTTATAGTGTTATAAATTAAAATTTTTAATATTTTTCAACTAATTTTAATTATTACAACAAACGGCAGAAATGAGTTGTTAGAAATTAAGAATAGTGTGTTCCTTTGATTATTTTAAGAAAACAATAGATCCACACTAATTTTTAAGCTTCATATCTAAAAGTAAAAGTAAAAAGAAAATAAAAAATATTTAAAAATTTAAACTGATTTTCACCCTTAGCTACAACTACAAGTTTAAACTTTTAAATTGACTGGTTTATTGACCTGACATTAAAGTCTTTCTTTCGTTGAAACATAAATATTGGTTAGGTGACTGTACAGATTTGGTTTGGTTAGGTAGAGCATATGGTTCTCCTCTATCAACAAACCAAAACCAAAAACCAATTTATTTATTTATTTATTTATTTTTTTTGAAAAGCTCAAAATAAGTATTGAATGAATGCTTACAAAGTCATACATATTTCTAGTAAAAAGAGAGACTTTTCACATTTATATTTATATATTAGTAACGAGTATTCTTTGAAATATAAATAATCATTCAATGAATAATTGTTCTTAAATATAGTATCTTGTGTCATACATTATTATTATTTTTTATGTTAATGTGCGATTACGATATAAATAAAACTATTAATTAGAAATTATAACTATAAGTGAATTTATATAAATTATAATTATAAAGAATATTCTTTAATCTATTATTATTTTTAAAAAAAGAAAGTGATCATATTAAATATTTACTTAAGGAAACTAATTTCATAATAATAGATTCCAAACACAAATATAAATGCAAAGGTGATTTCATGAACTTTTATAATTAAAATAAAAATTAGAAAAGGTTTATTGTGAAAAACATTCAAATATAATTATGAACATCTATTATTTATTTCTATTTTCTTCCAGTTTAAGGCTAAATGTTGACTTTTGTAAATTGGAAATGCGAAATTGCTCAGCCTACTACTTTGACTAATATTTAGATTGAACTACTTCTTCGCTTTCCGCTAATTCACTTCATTCACGTGACATATTGATATTATTTTCAAACTAAATTTCTTGGAGGGAAAATAATAATAATAATAATAATAATAGTAATAGTAATAATAATAATAAAAATGGCCCTTGAAAATATTTTTACAAAAATATTTAGCCAAATTTGCTACTCAAACCAATTGTAGTCCAGAAATTGAGGGCCTAATCATACTGCGAGACGGTGCAGTATATCTTCCCATTATTCTGGGGGGTTAATCCTATAAGGCATTGCGTGATTGGCTCGTACAAAAAATGTGAAAGGTGGTTATAAGCATAGCAAGTGGTGATTGTAAAAACTATATAGCCAGACATGACATCTAACTTCCATTCAAAACTCGTTCACCAACTAGCCAGCATCAATAAGTCATCTCCTCTACTATGCAAAGACTAAATATGCCCCTATGCTATCCAATTAAATTAAATTTTCTTAAATTTATTTATATTATTCCATATATTTGAGCACTTTATGCAAATTTATACACTTATTCATGAAGGAGATAGGAAAGCCACAAGGATGGCGGTTGCGAAGAATCAGCACTGGCCATCTCCCGATCCTAGTCAAATCACTTTCCATTTTCACAGGAATCTGAAGCAAAGTGGATATAAAGAACATTTGCAAGGAGTGTAGACAAACAAGAAATATACCAAGTGTAGTTATCAGTTTAAGAAGAAGAAGAAGAAGAAGAACAAGAACAAAGAACAAGAACAAAGAAAGAATTTCAAACTGTCAAATAAAAAAAAAATGGGATTCGCAACTAATATAGGAAAATACCATGTTGGAAGAACAATTGGCGAAGGAACATTTGCTAAGGTTAAACTTGCTGTAGATAGTTCCAATGCAGGTCATGTTGCGATCAAGATTATTAATAAGCAAATGGTTTTAGAGAGCAATCTCAAGCATCAGGTAACTTTTGTGTCTAATTCTCTTTCTGACTAATTAGGCTTCACGGTTTTGAACACAACTTTCTATTCTTTGAATTTGTTCTATGTTCTCTTCTTTTACCAGTTCTACAGGTTTCTCTCTCTATGATTAATTAGGCTCCAAACTTACGGCTTCAAAGCTGAGTCTAATACCGGATAAAAGATTACTGGCTATTTGTTTCTTTCTGATAAATGGAGATGCTAATTTCAGGTACAAAGGGAAATAAGAACCATGAAGATTTTGAATCACCCAAACATCGTCCGAATACATGAGGTATCCATATCCATTAATTTCACTCTCAGCTAAATTTCTTATCCAACAAATTAGGAACCTCTCTTTCTAATCTCTCTTGTACTAACTTTTTGTATTGGATTGTATAACAAAAGGTTATTGGCACAAAAACAAAAATTTACATAGTAATGGAATATGTATCTGGAGGACAACTATCGGACAAGTTGGTGAGGAACTGCACCTACAATTCAAAAACTGCGTTCTTTATTCTTTTTTCTGACTTCCCAGGGAGTCTTTTTATATTAATGTTTCTAATCCTCCTTAACACCCTATTTACTCAGTCTTATGCCACGAAACTGAACGAATCAGAGGCAAGAAAACTGTTCCAGCAATTGATTGATGCAGTGGACTATTGTCATAACAAAGGAGTTTATCACAGAGACTTAAAGGTCGATAAAGTGTATTAATCATAGAAAGCTTTTCTATTGTCTATAAATGAATTGAACCAGCTAACTAATGATCTTTTATGCAGCCAGAAAACTTGCTTTTGGACAGTAAGGGAAATCTGAAAGTATCTGACTTCGGACTAAGTGCATTGCGTAAGGTATCAATAGCCTAATAATTTTTCTAACTTCTTCTATTCATTTCATGTCAATATACATAACAAATTCTGCATAGATATTGACTAAGCCAGCATCAATAAATGACAGCATGATGACATTCTGACTACAGCCTGTGGATCTCCATGCTATGTAGCACCAGAGGTAAGAAGCTTTCCCCCCCTTTTGGAGTAAATGAATTCCACAAAATCTTTTGGTATGAAAAAAAAAACGAAGATTTAAATTCTACCAATTCAATTCTATGGATTTGAATGTTTCTAAACCAAATTCTATCCAAAAACATGAAATTTCCAAATGAATTTCACAGACTTAAACAACCCAAAGCTTTATGACAAAACTATTCACCTAGCCTTCTAAAATTACTGTGCCAAGAGTATTTTAGGAAATAGAAGCAAATGAATTTTCAATTTTGAATTTATTCCAAACATGAAAGTTCGTTTACAAATGAATTCTACCTAGAATTCATAATGAATTCCGCATTTTGAATTCATTTATTACCGAACGGAGCGTTCATTTTTTTTTTCTAGCTATTTGTTAAGATTTAATTGCACCTTGTAATAAAGGGAGAAGGAGAAAGAGGGATGCAGCTGTAGCTCAAAACATGGACTAGCATATCAATAATTACACGACAGTATATACTCAGTCATCTATGAATTAGTTAATTGTAATAATATCTCCATGTGCAAATTCTGGAGGATTTATTTGAGGGAGAATAAAAAGAAAACTTCTATAAACAAGAGACTTTTGCCATCAAAGAATTATTTACCTCCATCATTTTACACGTAGGAACGTTATGATTGGCTTGTCCATATGTGGCCTAGTATTACGAGTCTACCTAAGAATTTTCTAATCCAATGATCTCTGGCTTAGGGTATGAGTTGTGTCCAGGATTGTAACTTGAACTGAGTTAGAGCTTAGTTAATCAAAATGAAACTGTGTGTGTGTATGTGTTAGCCTTTCTCAGATAGAAACTCATACCTGAATCCCTTCCAATATTAACGCTGTGATAAATCTTCTGCTGAACAGCTTCTTGCAAATAAGGGTTATGATGGAGCAGCAGCAGATGTTTGGTCCTGTGGAGTAATTCTGTTTGAACTACTTTCCGGGTACCTTCCTTTTGATGATCGTAATCTTATGATGTTATATAGGAAGGTACATTTCTATCTCACCCTTTGTTATTGTGAAAAGACGGAGAAAAATCATATTATTTACTGACAACCATGTTTGTGTAAAGATATCTCGAGCAGAATACACATATCCACTATGGTTTACCGAAAGTCAGAAGAAGCTAATATCAAGGATACTTGATCCTAATCCTAAAAGTGTAAGCTAATACATATATAAAGATATCCGAGCAGAATAACATATCCACTATGGTTTTACCGAAAGTCAGAAGAAGCTAATATGCAAGGACTACTTGATCTAATCCTAAAAGTGTAAGCTAATACAATTATATATTATATAGTATATAGATCTTTTTTTTTTTCTTATTAAGAACATAATTAAGAAAAGGAAAATAAATATATAATTTTTTTTTTTCTAATTAAGAACATAATTAAAAAAGGAAATAACTAATGTGCTAAATCATCATTTCAGCGAATAACAATACCAGAGATAATTGACGATGCATGGTTTCAGACGGATTATGTGCCTTCTTGTGGATGTGAATGTGATGAGAAAATCTACTTTGATGATGTTAATGCTGCTTTCGATGCAACTGAGGTATGGTTGTAGATTGCAACAAGATACATAATTGAGTTTAATTTCATGATTTGTTTTTAAGTAAACACCTAAAATTCTATCAGGATGACACTGCAGCAGAGAAGAAGGTGCCCAAATACTCAAGTTTCATTAATGCATTCCAATTGATTGCAATGTCAGATGACCTTGATTTATCAGGTCTTTTTGAACAGGCAAGTCTATAGTCTATAAATTAGTATTTATAAACTATTCTATATAATATTCCTTGATTCATTTGATAATATCAATCTTTTGTCTTTGCTAGGAAGATAAGAAGCACAAAACAAGACTAGGCTCCAGGCTTACAGTAAATGAAACCATAAAGAAAATAGAAGCTGCAGCAATGGATTTAAGTCTGTCAGTTGAAAGGAGGAACAACTTCAAGGTCAAATCTAGAAAAACCTGATTCTTCAACAAATTGTATTTCTTTTATTAAGAAAAATAAAATTAATGCATCTATAGAAGAACTAATGATTATACAACATTATATCAGATGACAATGCAGCCAAAGACAAAGATGACTAGATGTACCAGATCATATTATGACCTATCAGCAGAGGTAGTTAATTGTCTATATATGTATTCCTAAATATATCAAAAGAGATCTCATAATTTTCTGTAAAAATGTCAGGTAATTGAGGTTGCTCCCACCAATTGCGTTATAGAAATATCAAAATCAGCAGGAGAAGTAAGATTGTATTCAGAGGTACAGCTAGTTAAAATTGATTATGTTAAAGCTTAGACAAAAAAATGAAAAAGAAAAACAAATGAATATGTCTGTTTGATTAACGGTTATTATTTGATGATCAGTTCTGCAAAAGCTTATCAAGTTTACTAACAGAGAAGTCAAATGCACCATTGCAAATCCAAGATTCAAATGCAGAAAGCATTACAAGTAACAATATCCAAGAAACAGGAAGGTAAGAAATTATCCATGGCCAGAATTGAATGCAACTATGATGGATTGCTACACTCAGCTAACTGAAACTTATTAATTATACAGCACTGAGAAGCAAAATGACTTTCGGGGATATTCATCCTCTTGAAGCTACTTTCTCTCAACTCTATACTCCAAATGCCTAGTTTCTAAAGGTTGCTGAAAGAAAAATATGTGCAAATACAACAGAAAATTGCTAGTGCAGAACCATAGTAGAAAATGTGACAAGTGTTGCACAATTCCAAGGCATGATTTATAGCAGAAAAGGTGAAACGGGGTGTAAAGCTGTTTGCTTATTCATATGCAACTGTGTGTTTCTCAATTTTCCCCTCCTCTTTTTTTTTGAACCTCTACCATCTCAGTCAAAGATGTAAAGTAAAGGCCAGAATTCTTCATTAATTTTTTTTGAATGAGATAAATGGCCAAAATTCTTCCTGTGCCTTTGTTTTGTGAAATGTTAGCCTGATTTTATTTGTTCACAGCACAAAATTACGTCAAAGAGAGATCATAAAGCAAATATGTACTAATTGGATACTCAAAGGAATATTTTCATTAACCTTCTTAACTACTTCAAGAAACAAATAAAGACTTGGTCATCCTAAACCTACAACTTCTCTTACAGTTAATGAAAAATGAAGCATGTAGAATAATTCATGTGAGTCAGAAGATACAAATATGGGCAAATCTTACCAACTTACATATTAACCACATTACCGCCTCTAATTGAATCTACTAGATTATCATATGTGGATAATAATTAGAATAAATTGGCAACAAATGCAATGATAATCATGTAATATGTGAATTTGGGCCAATGCGAAAGAGGACTCAAACTATTCCATGCTAGACAAGATGAAATGACTGCCCAACTTGACATTTCGCAAGCTGGGTATGATAGTTACAAATATGAGAATGAGAATCCATGAAACTTCTCTTGAACTTATTTCAATGGAAACCATCAGTCATAAAATGATTAAAATATAGGCATTAAATTTAGTCCATATACAAGATAATCAATCTATGCCTTGATGAACATTAAAGCATATGGCCCTGCAGCTTTGTATATGTTTTTATCAAAAGAACGATTATCAACCTTCAAATGCGCGTATTGAACCTATATCTTATCACATTACCTGTGGCTTGAAAGTTTCCAAATTTTTTATATAAGGCTAAAGTTGAAACATTCATAAAACTACAGGTATTCAAGATACGCAAAGGAATAAAATAGAAAAGGGAATACACTGCCCAAGGAAATAAAAGCTGAAGTAGCGAAGCTATTTGGTTTTTCTTCAAGGAACTAGCAAATTACTTGAATAAATTAAATGAAAATCAAAATTCGTATGCACAAGTAAAAATTTTAATAATCTTTCCTCTCCATTTTAATTTGTATTAATAAAAAAGCCTATGTAGGAATTGAACCCACACCTTTTGTTCTATTGCACAATGCTCTAACCATTTGAGCTAATAGGCTAAGACAAATACAGGATAAATCCATGAAAACATATTATTGATTGTCAATGATAAATAGATGAAAACATTGTTCTTCTAACCAATAGAATAAATTGACTGTAGAAAAAACCCAGCTCTAAATTGCAATAGTTCCAATAGTCAAGTCAAAAGATCAAAAGATAAGGAAACAAATGATATCTATACAAAATCAAGAATAGTTATATTACTACCCACAAATCTACTCTTACTTATCATAATCTTAATTATCACAATCTTACTTATCATAATCACTTTTATTATTATAATTATTATGAATAATATTGACACCATTGTATTGCCCAGAAAAAAAAAAATATTGATACCAACAAGCTAGAAAAGATATACTGACTATTGGATAGCGATATTGAAATTAAAAATAAAATAAAATAAAGATTTGTAATTATTTACCTCAAGTCCTCAACTGATGAAGCTGTTCTTCTATGAATTATGAGACCTCCCTAACCAGAACTGAACATCACATTCACAACAAACGAACTTTGAGCTGTATTAGTATTCTCCAAAATCCTACGGAAACATTCATTGAAGCTGATAATATATTGTCGTTCTTTTGCGACAACATATCGACGTTGTTTTCCTGCTCTGCGATAGTATATTGACGTTCGACATCCATTGAAGGTGAGGTTGGTACTGAAAATAGAAAAAAAATCGAAATTGCGAGAGTCGAACTCAAACCTACTAATTTTGTTACGAATTGTTGCGGAATTAGTCAAAATTTTAGGAAGAATTTTGTGGTTTTGATGGCTTCTCTATTCAATTTCACCGTTCCCGTCGATGCTTTGTAGACAATTTTGGGCCACCATGGATCGCGAAAGGCTTTGGCGGTGGCAGTGTCGCTGACTGGAACAAGCGCCTACAGATAGGCTACTTAACGTCTCTCTCTCATCCCTTTCTTTTGTCCGTCACATTCTTTTGTGTTATAATTAGCAAGTTATAGATCCTTTGTTAGCTAAATGCAAAATAGTGTGCAGAAGAGTTTCTCTTAAAGCTAATGTTATTGTAAATAATTTTTAAACATATTATACATCCGTGTATAAAATTTTATCCAAATTCGTACTCATACGATTCAAATATATATATTTTAACTTTCATGTATTAAATAATTGCGTGAAAATGTGTGCATTATAATTAAAAATAAAATACATATTGTGTTGAACAGAAAAAAAGCATACGTATGCATCGTAATAAAAGTAAAATATATTATTCCATCCATCCTTAAAAAATAGTTTATATAATTTTCCTATTATGCTCATTTTAAATATCACATGCGCAATTATTACATAAGAATAATAAATTAAAATTGACAAGGATTATTAAAAATAAGGTAAAATTAAATAAGGGTATAATAGACTATTTAAAGATTAACTATAATGAAAAAAAAAAAAAGAGGATTATATTAGGACAAACTAAAAAGAAAAATAGACAATCTTTTTGGAACGAAGTATCTCTGTTCATAATACTTGTCACATTTAAAAAAATAGTTTGTTCCAAAATACTTTATCACATTTGTGGTTTTAAGGAGTATTAAATAATTTTTTTCATGTTTATCCTTTGTATATGACAAATAATTATTACTTTAATTTAATGATATTTTTTAAAAAATTAGTATTAAACTAAATGTAATATAATAAATTTGCTCAATAATTTATTGAAACTTAGACAAATTTAATAATTTTCTTAAGAGACTTGAAAATTCAAATGTGATAAGTACTGTGTAAGAAAAGTAGTATATATTTACTTAAACCCAAAAAAAAAAAAAAAAAAAAATTTGCCCAAATATTTATTAGAAACTTAGACCAAATTAATAATTTCTTAGAGACTTAAAATTCAAATGTATAAGTACTGTGTAAGGAAAAAGTCAGTAGATATTTAGCTTAAACCCCAAAAAAAAAAAAAAAAAAAATTACACACCTTTAATTATGTTTTTGGAAACATAAAAAAAAAAAAAAAAAAAATACACCTTTAATTATGTTTTGGAAACATAAGGACATTAGATGCAATAACCATGACCTGAAAAATTTGCATTTAAAGTTAGGGCCTGAAATCTGCTTTGAACAGACGTGGTACCGTTTTGACGCCTAATAGGCAGGGGTGAGCAAAACTACCCACCGAATCAAATCGAAAATCGAACTGATCGATTTCAGTTTGGTTTGATTAAATATCCAAGAGAGATTTGATTGGTCGATTCATTCAATTAGAATTAAATTTATTACTTAGTTCGATTCGATTACACAGAAATTCATCGGTTTAACTTAAAACCGAATTGAAATGGCAAAATCGACGAAAATAGATTGAACTAACTGGTCAATTTAATTGGTTCGATTCAAATGTAAATTTCTGTTCAGTTTGATTTGTTATTTAGAAATTTCAGTTTGTATTTTATGACTTCGGTTCGGTTTGAACCAAACCGACCATTTGCTCAGCATTAACTAATAGGTGGGTACAGAAGATGAGGGTCTGCCTATTCAGGAACCAATTTCTGTGGAAGCAAATAAGGATGGCATTTAGAGGAATAATATCTATAATAAAATTAAAATTTCTAAATCCTTATGATTTTTTTTTTCCATTTTTTGAATTTATGAATATCTTAATTCAATTTTGGTTGGAAAAAACATGATAAAGAAGAAAACCAAAATTTTATCTTATCAATCATTTTTATAATTTTATTTATATTTTACTAATTGTTGTGTTGAATTATTTTTTGCTAATAATTAAAATAATGATAAACATATTCTCGGTAAATAATAAAAAATCATAAATTAAATAAGTACTACAATGAGAAGTAACGGATTCAATACACGTTCTTAAATAGTAGTCAATTAGTAATATTTGAACTCAAATTGTAATTTATTATTATGATAATAAGGGATTAATATTTAAACTCAATCAAAAATCTTGATATTTTTGTTTAAAAGAAAAAAAGAGGTGGTGTAAATTCAAGTTGTTATGTTAGATAGGGAAGATTTACTCCATGTAATGGTTTAGTTAAATAAACTAATATTGATGTCTCAAGTTGAGTAATAATGTCGACTGTTTATAATATACTAACCTGCTAAAGAAATATAAAAAGGTCAAGTGGTAGAGCTCTTTTGATTTTTCTTCAAGAAAATACACATTTTGCGACATTGCACAATGCTCTAATCATTTGAGCTGACAGACCAAGACAAGCAAGAGGTAAATCCATGAAAGATGCTATTTAATTTTAAATAGTTTACAAGCAACTAAGCACAAAATTAAGTGAAACACATACCAGATTAGAATAGTTTTGACTGTAAAAAGAAACCAGCTCTAAATTGCACAAATACATAGTTATGAAGTTCCTACCATTAGGAGGAGCCATTAACGCCTTTTTATATCGTCTGGGGATCCTCCCTTCGCACTATGCATGATTTTAATGTTCATCAGTCTTCCTGTAAAGTAGGGATGCACGATATACACGCCGAATATATCAAATAGGCAATGCCATTCCTCAGCAGACTTGTGTTCCCACTGATTCAATAAAAGGTCAATTGCAACAAACATTTTGCAAATGAAAAACCACCAGGTATCTAACATCACTAATATATATATATACAACTGAAGTTTGTGCCCGATTGAAACCAAAATTACAGGAAATAAAAGCAACCTTTACCAAACCTCGCCGGGAATTAAAGGTCCATAATCCAGCAAAGCAACCTGATATTCATGGATAACACTGACCACCTAAAAAAAAAAAAAAAAAAAAAAAAGCACCGATGGGAGAACCAAAATTATCCAGGAAATAAATTCAACTTTTAGCCAAACCTCCAGGGGAATTAAATGGTCCCATAATCCAGCAAAGCCAACCTGATATTCATGCGATAACACTGCACCATCCTAAAAGAAAAAAAAAAAAAAAAAAAAAAAAAAAAAAAAAAAAAAAAAAAAGGCGAACTAAACCATGTCCCAAGTAACAGTATGCTGCATATCATGATGCCAAGAGACTACATTAGACAGTCACAAATACTACCGTTCCCAGTTAACATGTTTTCCTTGTTCATCTGAGTCTATACAAGTACTGCTACCTGCAGTTAAGCCAAAATTAGATGACAACCAATTATATATTTATTCTCCCAAAAATATTCCAATATTTTGCAAAATTTCCTGCAAATATTTTCAACATACCCACCTGTCATGTTCACGATTTCCATCAGGACTATCCATACTCCGCAGCAAATCCACTATCTCAACCCTCACATCAGGCATCGGTGTGGTTCCCACACTCGACAGAGCTCCAGCTGGAAAATTTGGACTCTACAAGGTAAAACATTGCAACACGTTAACACTTAATTTTGTAAATAATTTTTCCACTTTTTTGCTACCCTACTCTGTTTACATTGGCCACCCAATCACAAATATTGGCCCTTCCCGGCGGCAGAGGTAGGGAACGGCTGGGGTCGCCCTCACCCCAAACTCCTTTTTTTCCCTATTTTTGCCTATAAACTAATGAATTTTTTTTATTTGGCCCATTAAAGTTTGAAAATTTTTCCTTCACCCTAGCATTAAATACAAAAAAAAAAAAAAAAAAAAAAACAAACAAAAAAAACAAACAATGTTACTTATGTAGATCATCTAGAATCATCTTTCCTTCACAAATTGAAGGTGTATCCCCGCCTTTATTGCAACAGTTTGTGTTATTTCTTTCAGCTGAGAAGCCCACACCAGTTTATATCTCGCGGTCGTACCCCGTGACTTTGTTGTTGTGGATTGTTGTAAAACAACTTTGCATTCATCATTAACACACTACAATTCCTATCGCCTCTTCAGCAACACTACATCACCAACAAAAAGATATTCATTTATTAATTCCACTTCCTCCCTATCTCCCAAAACTTCTCTAGGGCTTTTGTCAAACAGTTCCCTAGAAATTGTACACGTAGGAACCACATCTGTTTCCTTTTCCATAAAACAATGTCAACTGCTTTTGTGAAAATTCTTTACTTCCATTTCTGTTAACTCTTTTAGGCTTCCTCTGAAAGTTGAGGGACAAATCTACTTCCTCCCATCTCCCAACTCTCTAGCTTTGTCAACAGTTCCCTAAGAGAATTGTACACGTATGAACACATCTCGTCCTTTCCATAAACAATGTCAACTGCTTTTGTGAAAATTTCTTCCATTTCTTTAACTCTTTTAGCTTCCTCTGAAAGTTGGGGACCAAATAAGCTGCTCTTTATTATGCTATAATAACGTTTCAGATCTTTCCTCCACCTATTCAATATATACCTGTTTGGTAAAACATCGACATCATGCTTTGTAAGAACACACAATGCATGTGAGCACAAAATACCCTTTGACTCAAACAACATACAACTGCAACTAACATCTACCAAATCATGGTTGTATATCACATCGTGGTTAACCCTCTTCCAGCCACCACCGTCTAGAAATACCTTGTAATCTATTGAGTACCTAAGAACATTTTGTCTTTCTCCAACCAGGGAAACACTACAATACATCATTTTCAGAAACTCCTTCCTAACTTGTACATAAATTCCATGAGTGTAAGCTTCTTGGAATTGTTTCTCAATGGCATATTCACTACACGTCGGAATTTTTGAGTTCATTGAATCAAAATCAGCTTGCATCTCTTTCTCTATTTTATTCATCAATGCAACCTCGTACTGGTCTAAAAATTGTTTCAGCGTGCTCCTTGAATGTATGTATCCATCGAAAAAGGAGTTCATGCTCTCGTTCCTTTGGGTCAACGACAGTCCTCCCCAAAAGTACCTTCTCACGTAAATGGGAACCCATTTCTCTTTCCCTTCGTATAAATCAATTAGCCAAGAGTGCTCATGGAGATTAAACCAATCAAGCATCATTTCCCAACCTTTTTCAAACTCATCAATTGACACACTATCAAATACTAGGTTGGTAAAAAACTCTTTGATTTCACTATACTGATTATATTGCTTCATCTTTTCAGAAAACTTTAACATTATGTATCGTAGACACCACCGGTGCCTAGTTTCAGGAAAAACAATCTCAATTGCCTTCGAAATACTTGCACACTGATCAGTTATTATAGCTGGTGGTGCAACATTACCCATGCATCGCAGCAACTGTCTAAAGACCCAAACAAAAGTAGATACTTTCTCATTACAGATCAATGCACAACCTAGCAGAATGGGTTGTCCATGATGATTAATGCCAACAAATGATGCAAATGGCATTTTATACTCGTTCACTAGATACATTGTGTCTAGTGATATAACATCACCAAATTCCTTATAAGCATATTGACACCTTCCATCTGCCCAGAATACATTCTTCATTCGACCAGTCTTGTCCACAGCAATTTCATAAAAGAAATTTCTATCACGTTGTTGCATTCTCCTGAACAATTGATACACTGCTTCAACATCACCTTTTGCAAGATGCAACTTCCCCACTTTGCCTAAATGGCTATGGCAGTCTCCTTCTGAACAACTAATCATCTCGGGCCCCTCAACTTCGGCAACCAAAGAACGAAAAGTCTTGCATGATCTAGCATCTACACTATCATTCACCTCCAACCTTCTCTTCTCATGCGGCAATAGCGCTCGTTGTTGGAGTAAAAATTTAGATTTGCTTGGTGCCATTTCATGATTATGCTCCAATATAACTTTATTAATTTTCCACCTTCCATCTCTTTGATTAGACGCACACAATCGAGCCTTACAACCTATCCGTCTTGAAGGTCGTTGTCTTTCCTTAATGTTAATGTTAGTTCCAGCTTTACGCCCACGGTGACAACCGAAGGTTATAAATTGATAGTCACCATTTACATCTTTTCTCCCAGACAACTTGTTGACACAAAATCCTTTCGCCATTGCATATTCTTGGTAGTAATCGAAAACCTCTTCCATTTCCTTAAACAACATGCCAACCTGTGGCTCATTTTGCGAATTACCACAATTGTTACCAGTGTCCTCGATCGTAGATTCTATTCCATTCCTTTGTGTCACATCAATATCGCTACATTCCTCCATCATGCTAGTCATGGTTCATATACATTCTCTGTCTTCTGTATCTCCCAAACTCCAGCCTACATACAAAACCAAACTATACACCCATATAATCGATTAAATGAATCAACATGTTATAACAAACTCAAAGGACAGTGATCAAAAACAATTTATTTACTGCCATGATTAATTCATACCACTTGACTATATAACATTCTTACAGTATTCTGTTCCCCACACTCAATTTTACATGAACAAACATTGCAAACATTCTGCAACTTAGACTGATGCAACAAAATTCACCATATTCAAACCTGGCCACGCCCTATAATTTGAAACGTTCCATGCCCACTTTAACCCCAAATATTTAGCTAAAACAAATTTAGTTATCATAACAATTTCAAAAGATAATGCACTGATTTCCATGTCAGAAAAACACATCTTTGAATGCTTCGGCTATCACAAAAATTTAATCAACCCAAATTTATTCCACATTAAGGTCCACCAAAAAACAATAAGGTTCCTATCCCTATCACCATAATCATATTCACAAGTTCAAATTTTAACCTTTCTGTTCAAATTCACCAGCAAGTTACTTTAGCAGAATATACCCCAAACCATGTCAATTAATTTGTTTAATATTTCATACACACATTTTCCATACCTGGACATATAGTTGTAGCTTCGTCTTGCTCAGTTTGTCGACAACATACCCTCTCAAATTTTTAATATTCCTCCATTACAGCCAGGCCTCTCCCCTTACCACTGCGATCTGCGTTTTGCACACCGATTACTTCTTCTTCAACAACTCCACTGTAAAACCTCGTTCTTTTCTCCTCCTCTATTACTTTGCCCATTGATGTCATCTTTTTCAATTAGCCTTAAGTATTTCAATATTTACAACTACTGCCACGAATGTATAATTGTGCTGTATTTTAGCTTTTTGGGCTGGGCCCTGTATCCGTTTAAAACCCCAATGCTTTTGTTTTTTACTTTTTCCGTTTAAACTCAAATTTAACTCTGGAGGTCAAATCAATCCCTTCTGATTTCTCACTCATTTTAGTTTTAGTTTTCGCATTGTTGTTATTTTTTTTAATTTTTGATTTTATATATTTTCACTATTTTACAAGTAAAAAACCAACTTATTATTTTTTTTCAAAAATAGGTAAATTGATCATAAATCCAAAGTACGGATAGCCTAAATTAGTCCAAAAAATAATTTTGATAAAATTAAACATTTAGGCTTGTTTGGCTCAAGAAATGAAATAGTGAGGCATGAGATAAAAAAATATATTCTCAATTAGACAAAATATTGTCTTTTAAAATTATCTATTACATATAATAAATTATTAATATATTTAAAAATTCGCAGAAACTTAGCATTATAAGTTTATTATTCCATGAAATAGTTGTCCCATAATAAAAATTTGAACCAAAGTTATAAATAGTTCTCTTTGTTTTAAAAAAATTAGTACTATTTTATTTTCTTGTCATTTCATGCAAATTCATAACCCAAAAGAAACTCCAATAAGAAAGCTAAATGAATAAATATATTCTAATAATTTACAAAAGATAAATAAAAACAAAATTTATAGCAATTTAAATTTTGCAAAGAAACTTGTCGTGCCTCTAAAGGCATAAATTTCAATAACATTTTACACCTTTACACATCGATCACATAGTTTTTTTTTTTCTTGGATTTATATGCAAAACATTAATTGGATATGATTGCTATAACTTTTAAAATAAGAATTTGCGCATTCTTTAATTATTGAGGGTTCATTTATTTATGTAAAATAATTTGCAGTAAAATATTTTTCACAATTTTCCGTTATTTAAGGCGTTCAGAAAAATAAGTGAACGGAAAATATTTTCCTGATAAAAAAAATTAAGTTATTTTTTAAGAAAAACAACTTTCCATTTTCAGAAAGTAAGACATTTTCCGGATATTGACAAATTTTATAAATCTATATTTTTTAATTTATTAATTATCATGTCACTACCACTAGTCACCATTTACCTTTGGCTACCACCACCGACCACCAGCAGCTTTCATAATTTATATAATTTTTTTTTTGCATCATTTTCACATTTAATAATAAAATTTTAAATTATAAAATTTCTATTATTATTAATATTTTTTTATAGACTTATGAGATAAAGACTTTAATATTTTCAATTAATTTCATAATTTATATAATTTTTTTTGCATCATTTTTTCAACATTTAATAATAAAATTTTAAATTATAAAATTTCCTATTATTATTAATATTTTTTTATAGACTTATGGAAGATAAAGACTTTAATATTTTCCATTTAATTTTCCAATATTACAAACGCAAATAACAGAAAATAAGTCATTTAAAAATTAATAATAAAATTTTAAATTATAAAATTTCTATTATTATTAATATTTTTTTATAGACTTATGAGATAAAGACTTTAATATTTTCAATTAATTTTCAATATTACAACCAAATAACAGAAAATAAGTCATTTAAAAAATATTTTCATGAAAAATATTTTTCAGCAAAATATTTTATAGAAACAAACAAAGGCTTAATAATGTTTCATCAATCAAATCTTATAAGTTGAAACGTTCAATAGAAATTTTTTATAGATTGAAGTATTTAAAAAGTATAATTTTATAAATTGAAGTATCTAATACGTCGAATTAAATGGTGAGGGACTATAAGATTTTTCTTTTGTAAAAATGGCATTTGAAGACCTTCCCGCTACCAAAATTAGGGGCTTAAGCCATTATAGCCTCATTCTTTAAGAAATTATCAGAAAAAATCTGGGATTAAAACCTCTTTGAAAGAAATGTCATTATACATGAAGCAAATGAAACAACTATCGAGGTAAATACTGCAAGAATGCCACAGTAAACCAAACATCTCTTCATTTGCACCAAAAAAACATCTCTTCATTTGCACCAAAAAAAAAATGTTTAGATATATATGAAATTTATATGATACACAAAAAACAGAAGCAAACAATCTCACTATCACATCACCAACTGGGAGAGACCAACTAGAGAAGGAAATTATCTATCATATGGAAAACCACATCAGCACCATCAGAATTTAACCAGTATGTCTTCACCTGAATAATGAATGCAACAGTAAGAGACGACAAAAATGAAGAAAGAAAAAAGAACGGAAACATTAAGCATTAAGTATCCATTATTTTCTAGAACACTAAGCTTGATATCTAGATTACTGGAATATTCGCTAAATGCATAAATATATCCTTTATAAAAAAAAATATTGTGATACCCTTAACTAAGTACTTTTAACTTACAAAAATTTTCTATTGAACATCCCAACTTGTAAACTTTGATCAGTCAAACATTTATTGAACAATTGAAAATGAGAATTAATTATTGTTCCAAGAGTTGAACAACCACACATTAAATCAATATTTTACATATAAAAATTAAAAATACCAAATTATTGTTGCTAGTGCTGAAAGGTGTGTAATATTATCAAAATGCATAACTTTAAGTGCACAATAGATCCTTCGTAAAGTTTAAAGTGCCGTAAGATATTTTTTTTATGAATTACATGGAGCATATTTATGCATTTGGCCTTGGAAGACCAAAGTCTTGATAACCCATGAATTACATGCATACATTCACCAATCAAACAGTGCATTGTGAATAAGTCATCTATCCATGATTTTCAATTTAGACAGTCAAAGCAGTACATCTGAAGCCTTTTAGTTGAATCTAATTTAAATATAAAAAATTATAATAGATTGAAAAGAAATATTGCTAAAATGAAGCTTCCAAACAGAAACCATTTGAGCCCAGTTGACATCAAGTAATTTTGGCTAATTAAGTTCATAAAATGATAACCCTTTTATTTGACCCTTATATTGCCTAGGAGTAATAAAATTTATAATACCCCAACTTATTTGACTCGTACGTTGAGTTGTTGATTAGGATATATCAAATTAAAGGTGATATTAAGTTTCACAGATTAGCACCCAAAAAATACAAAATTACAGAAATATCCCTGCTCAATCTATAATGCTGTTTTCTTCAACAAATTGTTAATCTAATTCTCATATGGAAACCCACATACTATTATCCTATCAAATCAAAGCATGAGGCTGGTAAATTTTCTCCCTCTTATTTCTTTTAGAGGCTTTTAGCTGATTTCTGTTCATAACAGAACCGAAGCCTACTAATATGGTGATTATCTCATAATGTATATTGTTTCCTTTTACCTATTTCTGAATATTTCATGTACATGATATTTGAAACAATTATTTTAGACTGTTCCTTTGAAAATTATGCCGAGTCATGTAGTAAGTGAAACTACTACAAGGCCTATTACCTAGCAACTGACTTCCAAAGGAGTTTCACAATTCATCTTAATTACTGTCAACTTCAACTATAGCTTAACAAATCCTCGTTGATTGTTTTCACTTATCCCCAAGCAATCATAATGAAGATGGGAAAAAAAATTGAGGTATCCAGAGACTAAAAAAATGGGCAGCCAAAACAAAAGGCAGAATGAGTAAATTGATCAACTGCAACAAGAACCTAGGTTATTGGAAACAATTTAGCAATGGAACTTGCCTGAATTGTATTATGAGCAACATATCGTTGTCTGCTTTTGTAAAAGCTAACATCTACACGTTCCCAAGGTACTTGGGTAAGACCTTTTATCATCTCCTCTACATATAGAAACAAATATATTTATAGAAAACCAAAAATATGATAGAGAAAAAAGCAAATAAAAAAAAAAGTCAAAAGATTGCATAGAAAGATATGAAGATCAAACAAATTGCCACGAAAATGGTCAAGCACAAAGAAAAGCGCTAGATGCAGCCAACAAAAAGTTCTAGGAAAAGCAATAAGAAAGATAAAAATAATTTTTTAAAGAAAAAAAAAAGTTATAGCCTGGATTAATTATGGGACCTCAATGTCATTTGTATTCTATATTTATAAATATTTATCTTTCATTTTTAGGACCTTCCTTTTTTCTGAATTTTTCCAACCTTTCTGAATTTATAATATAATTCTTCTTATCAACACTTGAATCACAAATCTGTCTATAGAAGCGACACTTGACCTTAGTCCTGAATGATATCAGAGGATTTGCAGTGCATTTAAGAGGAATAACCATATTGCTTTCAACAATTTGGCAAAATCAACATTGTAATTTCATTGGGAGATCTTTGCTCTTTCCTAACTAGGTCTTGTTTTGAGTGAGATAAGAGGGAAAAATATATAAAAGCTTTAACATTTATGGGGGTTGTCAAGTAGCAATTTAAGAGCCTATAAGTTAGGACTCTTATGAAAAATTGGCATGCACCTTAGAACTTATTGGTACTGGGAGTAAGAGTTAACTCTCAAGTATAATTTTAATTTATCGCATGCACTACTTCTCTTTGCTCCATTTTCTCAAGCAAACACCATGAAAATCAATCACAAGAGAAATGGCACACACTTTCATGACCAATGGATTTTGATACATACATTGAAGGAACTTTCAATGGTTAAGTTTAGTGTTTTAGGAAAGGAGATTGAGATTTGCTATTTTTGTGTGGTATTGGCACTTATGAACTTGTTTGGATGGAAACTAGCAAAATTATTTTCACAATGCATCATTGTCTTTTTGTTAGTTTTCGGATAAAATTTTTGCTTCCTTGTGGCGCACGCCATATGGTTAGTCTAGATATATCTCTTTAGTCAAATATGCACCAAGAATGCCTCTACATTAGTATAGGATTTCTCCTTCCTTCCTTCAAGGAGGAATTTTAATCCCCATTCTGTAATTCTCACTCATCCTCTTTTCTTGATTATTTTCCCTTTAAAAAAAAAAACTGTAATCTCAAATTTCAACTACCCCTCAACTTGATATAGTAAAATGACCAATTCGCTCAAGATGTTTACATCTCAAACTCAACCACAAGTTTCAACAGGACAGGTTTTTGCATGTGCTATTAAAAGCAAAAACATATAGAACCGGAGACTAAAAGCTTGATTTTGAATCTGATTGAAATGATTCTACCATTTGCCAAAAATGTGAGATATTTGAAAGAAAGAAGACTGACAAACCTTCCAAATCAGTTGTTTGGTCTGTGATGACAGTAGATGATTTACTGCAGCCATCGTCTGTGATTTCTTGCTCAACAAACACAATATGTGGATATTTTTTATCTGTCACGAGAAAGTTGGGCTGCAGAAAATTCTGAGTTAGTGCTTCAGTAAAAAGTGAAATAGAAAAATCTTTCTCCAAATAGAGATGAAGCAAAAAGATAATGACTAGATATAATAATAATAATAATAATAATAATAATAATAATAATATAATGATAATAATAACCTTTGGAAGTTCATGCTGACGCCTAATTGATGAAGTCCTCCACCCAACCATATCTTTAACATAAGTGAAGATAAACACACACATAAATGGCAGAGATAATATTCATCCAAAGAGTATCTTTAATAGAGAAAAAGGATACGATCAAAATTCGCATTTGCATATGCCACACGTCGCTTAAATGCACGCAAAGCTGATCTACATAGGTCATCAATGCCGTTACAAAACTTTAATTAATTATAAATGCGATGTTTGAGCAATTGAAGACAGTATTGCAGATAAATTATACTAACATGAATTTTAGGTCACCAGAGTCATTGACCATTTGAAGGAGAAGAGGAGGTTTCCCATCATCATTATCAGTGAGAAAGAGATGCTTCCCTGTCCTCCCAACAATTAAATGAGCAGTCTGAGATGCTCTTCTCTCAAGAAAAGAGAGACCACAAAGAAATGGGAGCTGTAGAATCAAATGTGAAATATACTTGTAATTCAATATAAACAAAATAATCAGAATAGTAAGGGAAAAAAACTAGTGTCTTTAGACAGCTTGTTTAAAAACACTGTTAACCATAATGGATCATTGGAACTTCAACAAGTTCCTTTCAAATGTGTGACCTGAAAATATTTCAGTCTTAGTGTAACAATATAGTATCGAGATTGCTAAACTTCCTTCAACAACAAAATTAGGGGTTGTAGCAACCTCGCCAGGCAAAGTTCCTTAAACAATGAGTATCTCATTGTGCATAAGAACTACCAGTTAATACTTTTTCCTTAATGTCTTAACTTTATAGAAAAATGAAAAGTAAATGAGAAAGTTCTAAGAGCAAGGAACATGGACAATACTAAAAAAAAGGCGTAGATGCAATCTTCATAATCAATCCATAACATGCAGATATGTAGATCACTTAACCTGTTTGTTTCCTCTTGAACCAAGATGTGGTGTTGCAAATGTTATGAAGTTCATGGGTTCCAATCCAGCAATTCTGGCTTCGGAAGGCTGGTCAGAGCATTGCATTGAATTCGTATGTTCTTCATCTATGGAATTCTCAGAAAGACCTGGGAGTCCCAATTTTGGAAAATCTTCATACAGCTTCGCAATAGCATACCTTGCAACAAGGCCGCCTAATGAGTGAGCCACGAAGGAGATCTTACGCACATCAGGCTTATGTTTGACAACAGCCAATACCTACAGAAGATATTATAAAGAACTCATATTCATAAGAAATGGTTACTAAGGGACTGTGAAATTAGAGATTATTAAATAAAAGATGCAGATAAGCTAGGCAGATAGAGCTCAATAAAACAAGGAATGCCTAGGATTGCAAGGACTTGAGTATGATCGCCAAACATACCTCTTTAGCTAGCCTTTCCCCCATCAAATCAACACCATCAAATGTCAGCTTCGAATAGTTGCATTCACTGCCTGCTTGCAAAATATTAAAAAACCAGATAAAGACGATAGGACATATCAAACTTCCCACATCCAAAAATGAAAATCAAAGAGGTCTTCGAGGGATATTAACACACACTGATGCAGTAAATATCACAATTCAAAAAGTATAAATAATGACAAGCAGTTTCTCCATTGTGCTGCAAAATGAACAGTTAACAGCTCAGCACTATGACAATGCCAATTCTGACTCCATCCAAATTTTTGGTTAACTTTTACCAACTTGGACATTGCAATTTTTGTTCCCTATAATCCATCTTGCTTGAACAGTGATATCCTATTCAATTGAGATTCCAACCAACCATATAAAGATTGTCAATCCAAAGGAAAAGTTCATGATAACCAGATTGCGATTACCATATAAAATGATGAAATGAGATAGCTATATGTCATTCCATTAGATTATCAAGAATCTTCAAGCACAAGGAAGAGGTCGGACAAGTTACAAGCACTTACAGTGTACAATTACTCTATCGGGAAGTTTCTTCACAAATTGCTCTGCAGCATACTTCCAATCCGAAGAACTGCGCACAATATTTCAACTTTAGTTTTTCCACACAGTTGATTATCATGCAAGGTACAAATCAAACTCCTTATATGCAGAGACACTATAGAAATTGAATTTGAAGCTAATGACTAGTGAGAGCAACAATACAAAATAAGAATATAAACAATAAGACATCTACATTTACTTTGAAAATGAACTTACAGGATAGTATATGTATATCAATGCCTAGAGTCTAGAAAATCTCGCAGTGTTTGTATCTGTTGAAAAATGCTTTAAGCTTATAAATTGTTGGTTACTTATAGGGCCCTTCTTGTTATATGTAAAAACATGTGCAAATACCATAAAGAAAAAAAGCAAACTTGACAATGCAAACAAAGTTCCATCACAATGCTCTGGAATTTGTTTGGCAACATAACGAGTTGTTAAGACTATTTTATGTGGATCAGTTTTAGCCCTTGGGGTTGACTGGAGGGGGTTAAGTATTGCTGACAGCACTCTAAGGGAAAGTAAATTCAAGCTAGATCATAAGTAAATAATTAGGGTTTAGAGAAAAATGCAAACAACTTATTATTAATAAGATGGCAGCCTATAAAATTGTCTTCAAAGACTATATAAGGAAGGATAGCATCACGCATTAAATCCAAACCCCTGATTACAATTACTAATCTAATCCCTCCATTTAAATTAACAGTCAAATTCTAGGCACATTCGTAAGAGCCCTTTAAGTAAGCAAAAGTAAGCAATTTCTTACCATCTGAAGGAAGTAAGATCAAAATATAAGAAGCTAATAGTAAAATAAAAGTAAGATTAACTAAATAATGCTCGTCAATCAACATTGATGTATAAGTAAAAGAACTGAATATTAAAAAGAGAGAGTTGTGTCCTGCATCATGCATTCAAGAAACATGCTATCAAACATTGCAACAAAAGATCAAAAGTAGGAAATGCTGGATTGATATGAATTGAGCTCAAATTAGAGAATCAAAATCAAAGAACCCATGAAACCTTCAATATCTAATGAAACAAATACAATTTAAGTAAAGCCTAAGAAGAAAATATAACAGACATTAATTTGATGTTACAGGAACTCGACAAAGTAATTTAAATACTCATGCTTTGCTAACATGCAAGTAACTTAACTTTCTTAAATGATTGTAAATTTGTAATACAATAATAATAATAATAATAATAATAAAAGAGTTAAGAAGCAAAAAAGAGTACATAGACTAAAGTGATGTGAAAACTGAAAGAGTACAAAAAGGCTCCTAGTAAGGACCAAAGCCACCAAAATCTTGCCATTATAGAACTTGAGCCTTAAAGTGAAGGCTAGCCTTCTCTCCTTAATCAGACATTCTTTCAGCTATTAATTATGCCACCATGATATTCCTCATGTATAATGTCTATTCTACTAAGCATCAAATATTTCCCTCTTCAAAAGTAATCAAACCTAAATACTTTTGTCCCAGAATATCTATTACCTTCACACATACAAACCAAAAGATTCTTAATTACTGCCATCACGCACAGCCTTATATTGAATAACGAATACTGATACCACAAAAAAATACAATATCAATTCTAACTTAAATCGAAGGATCAACAGTATTTGGTTATTAGTGAGGATTTACCTATCAAATTATTAAATCTCAAATACATAGCAATTAATATAATTTAAGTATATATTACAATTCAGGAAATATTTTATTATTTTTTCTTAACTTATAAAATATTATTAATTTTCGGCTTTAAGCATACTTAGAAGGATCACATAGCAGACAAAGAAACATAAGCTTATAACATAATCATATGATCCGGAGACCGACTCAAAAGCCTCAACATAATCATAGAAGCTCGTCAGCTCAACTTAATATCGGGCGCCAAAAATTCATAATCACATCCGGAGGATGTACATACATCATATAGCAGTATTCCAGAATATATATGGCATGCCGTATCCCTGAACAGCTAATGACACCGACCAAGAATACTAAAGGCCATAAAAGTATATTTTCCATTATCTTTCGAAAATAGGTAACAACTCAACTTCACTAATATAAAACTCTTCAACTACTTTGCACATAAGAAACTTCACAATGGGCAAAAACCCCTAGTTTGGGCAAAACCCTTTCTTCTTGGACTCGAGCCACTCATTCTATAGATACAGCTTACGAACCTCTCCTCTAATACCTCCATTTATAAAGTTAGCCTTCTCTCTCCATCTGTTGAGGAGAAATATTCCTTCACTCACAAGGAAGTCACCCAAGCCACATTAGGAATTTTGAGTTATTTTTCCACAACAGTAAGATATCTCATTTTGCCTATCTAGATGTTAGAGCACTTGAAACTTCTTGCATAGGCTATGTAAACAATAGATTGGGTACTCTAGAAAAAAAGAAAATTTCTTATCCATTTTAATCTATTACCATCACTATGAGCTTCTGCTCCCATTTTGTTGTTAGTTTGCAATGAATGATACAATTTTATTTTACTCTCGCCGTTCCACTAAAAGTGGCACAATTTCAATTTTTTTTCTTCCTTTTTATCTATCAGTTCAGAAAATCAAGTATTAATTAGTTTTCTTCCAACCTTACCTTTTGTCTATTGGCATCTCCATCAAGTAAGCATTAATTATTTAGAAAACTGATAAAAGGGTAATTTAGTCAATTATAAATTTTTTCCCTCTAGTTGAGGTGGTTCAATGATTTCCTTAATTTTTCTACAATTTAAAATGTGCTACTTTTAATGAAACCGAGGGATTACAGTTTTTACAGGAGCTTTCCTTGATTTCGAATATGTTTAAATAATGTACTCCACTTCTATAATAATTTTCTTTTTTCAGTTGAAAAAAATAGGAAACGGATATCAAATTGTGACCTGATACACTAATTTCTCATAACTCTCCACCTAGAAATAGATCTATTATTGCCATTTTTAAAAATATCTGTGTTCAGCAAGCAATTAATGAGTTAGGAAACTTAGAAAATTCCATATCAGAAAATATTGCAATTTATTAAATTCTTGTCACCATAACAGGATGATGATATATGCATTCATTTCGTCCATAGCATAAGGAACATGCTGACTTGTCACAATAAAAGTCGTCCATTGCACTAAAACTCAAAAGCAAATAGTGGATCGAATATCATATTCTGTTGACCCGCTATACAAATTACTTACTTAGTCAGCAGTGATCATTATCTACTTTTCTTTTTTAGTTAGTGAACCTGTCAAGTAGGATGCCACCAAACTGCAAGGGATATGAGGAGATTAAACAAAAAACTCATAATACACTGAACACCAGCTCCCGCTAACATGCCAACAGAAGTTTGATCACTAATGCTAACCAAGCAGTTTGTTCTTCATCCTTTTGCAACCCAGAATTATAATCAAGTCCTCAAACTTTTAACGTTTATCAATTGAATTTTTAATCCTTTTATGTCTTTCTACCTGAACTTTCTTACCTTATACGATAATTGGAGTTGCCCAAGTCAATGTCAACAAAAAATTTTTGGCAAACCAGTGTGACAAATGTATTAAAATTCCATATCAGCTAAAGAATGAAATATGGTCTTCTTTTATCATCCATATCATAGCACCACAAAATATTTATTCCTCTAAGGATCCATGATAAATAGCTAATTGTGTTTGAATTTGCACCATATTGATTCTACACTTGAAAGTCAAATTCAAATATACCTTCATTTCAAATGACTATTTATTCATACATTAATCTCATTATCACCTATAATTTATTGCAAATACCATCAATTTGCACTCAATTTATCTGTTAAGCTGGCATCTACGTAAGCAACTCCAATGCCCATCTGTAATATCGCATCCAACAAGAACTTAAGCTAAAATTTCCAGAAATCAAATGATAAAAATAAAATTCAATAATTCATCACAAAATTGAATAAGGCCAGAGAAACTAATCTTCCCAAATGAAACAGCACACTTCACGCATGCCATTTTTGACTAGCCATTTGGAGAGAGAAAGAAAAAAAAAAAAAAAAATTCAAAGTCCATTGATTCTGCAAGTGCATAATGAGTGTATCTACTAATTCAAAGTCCAAAGAAAAATTTTACCTCCCTACGATTCCATTGACCATGATAACGAGATGATCTGGAGAAACCATCGCCTTCGCAGCCGCCGCATCAAAAACAGTCTCGCCACCAGCATCGACCTCAATCTTAAGTCCTCTCCCATTACCCCCCTTGAAGCAACCGCCACCCATCCTCCGTCTATGCTTCCCCAGACCCGCCGCCGAAAACAAACAACTACCGGTTCCAAAACTCAATTTTGATCCAAATCCTAAAGGAATAGAACAGAAAAACCCACGGGAAGAGCGAGGACTGAAGTTCAAAACGGCGATTTGCTCCGGGGATTGGATCAGGAAAGTAGCGGCTATCATATGGGGCAGAGAATCATCTAGTGATCAAAGATTACTGCAACTTAAACCAGAAGCTTGAAAAGGAAGGGAAATTAGTGTACTGGAATTGAATTCTCGAATGTGAGAAATGATGAAAGGGAAATAAAAACGTGGGAAATGAAAATCTTCAAAAAGGAAGGAATGCGAAAAAAAAGCAGAAAAGTGTATATTTGTACTGAAAAAGAGCAAATAACAGTATAGATTCGAAGGCGCCAAGAAGAAGAGCACCGGCAGTTACAAGCAGAGGTTGGGGTGTCGTACAAGATTTTAGTATTTTTCCAAAAGTGCAAAATTATTAAAATCAGTGGATAATATAGTTTAATGATTTAATAATTTAATTTGGTGGGGATATTTTACACTCCAACCGTCTATTTTAGGCTGGCCAAGATCCGGTTCGAAATTGGACCTGAATCAGTCTGAGAGTATTCTATTTTAAATCGGAACCATTTTTGAAACCAGATCCTGCCACCGATTCCAAGGACAATTCTGTTATTTTCGAAAAAAAAATGTTGGAATCTGTGGGAACTAAAATGGATCCAAAACTGACCATTTCAGGACCATTTCAGAACTAAAATGGATCCAAGACCAACGGTTCAGTGAAATGGAATCGGATCGGTGATACAAAACTGGCTGGCCCGGTAATATGTGTTTATGGACCGACCTCCCTCATACTTTATGATTGATAAGAGCAAGGAACCATTAACCGTACCGCGACAAAGCGCGGGGTTTTTGCTTTTTCTTATTTGAAACTCAACTCTGATCATTCACTGCAATGTCCAAAACAGCATGCAATCAAGAAAGCAAAGAAAAGTTCACTCGAGTTTGAACGTTATTGAAGTGCACGGGTAATCCCACTTTGGATAAATACACAATACTAAGTGGTATATAATGAAAAGAGTGAATGGTTTTTTTTTAATTATTATGTAAAAACTTTAAACGATTTATATTTATGGATACGTAGTAATAAAATACTCAAATACATAACTCTTAATAATAAATAAATGCTTATGTTATAATTAAATTGTACAAATGAAATTAAATTTATGAGTTATAACTCTGTTGACAATGTAATCTGGGCATATCAAAAATACTTTCGGGTTTAATCCCTACTAAATACATTTGCACGGAGGGGGAAGAGCTTTATTCGTGACTAAATTCCTAAGCCAGATTAGGCGGTCCCTGATGATAGGGTCTAGATACAGGTGGTTTACACACAAAAAAATTATATAAATGAAATTACATTCAATAACATCCGTTTAAAAGTTTTTTTTTTCTTTCCATGGAATAACATAAATTAGAGCATTAGATTCTATGCTTATCTTTGTTTTTAAAATTTATCCTTGAATATATTCAAAGCTGCCAAAATTAAAAATATAGTTTTTATGTTTCAAATCGTTTAATTTCCGCTTCAGAAGAAAAAAAAAATCTTTCCTTCCTTCCACGATTTTCTTTGATTGCTAAACGATCAATAATAATAACTGTATAGACTATTATTATATTTTTCACCAAGGTATTTTATCATACTTTTTAAAATACGTTGCACTGCCTCCCAATCTTTTTTTCTTTGGAAGATTGTATATATGTCCCCTCAAGTTTATTTACTTCTCTTGATTATTTCTGAAAAATAATTTATTTTTATAAAAAAATGTGTGATTATTTTATGTAAACGACTTCTTTGGCCAAATGCATAAATTCACTCATATTTTTTATGTAAAAAAATTCATTAGCATACATTTAAATCAATTAAATATTTATTAAATATGAAAATTATTTTTTTAGAATTAAAGTAGGCACAAATGAATATTTTTTATATAAAAATCAAAAAGCTGATATTACTAATAAGGAGAAATATGCGATATTATCAAATTTTCATTATTTTTTTTATATAGAGTCTCGATAGACCAAAAGAACATGTGAGATACACAGTAAGAGACAGTTGTTTCTTTTAAATAACATTTATCAAATTGGTCATAACTTTTGTGGTAGAAAAGATTCAAACTCGAAATCTCCTACTTTCCAAGTTTTTTACAAGACATGAGAAATCCAATCAAATAGGGATGTGCAAACGGACGGTTCGGTTCTAAACCGAACCAAACCATAAAAATTGACAACCAAAAATAGATTTTTTTGAAACCAAAATAAATTCAAAAACTGAACTAAACTAATCAGTTCGGTTCGGTCGACATTAGTTGGTCAAATGGTTTGGTTTTACTCAGAAAATCAATATTTTGAAATAACTGATCTAAAGACCGAAAATCAAAATTATGAAAAATTTTAAACCGAAGTTAAAATTGAAAACTGAATAACTAAACCAAAAATCGAAAATAATTTAATTTGGTTCAGTTTTCATTTTTTTTACAAAGTTTGCTTACCCCTTAATCAAAGCACGCATAGTTAACTCAAAATTCATCAGGTCTCTTATAAAAATTGAGGCGCTACAAAACTTTTTACTGCTGGGATAAAAATATGCATTTTAGCCATCTTTAACTTTAGTTACACTTAAATTAATCGAAACATGTGGATTCCTTTTTTTTTTTTTTTTTTTTTTTACAATAAATTATATCTATAGTCAATATAACTATTATCACTTCAGTCCGCTACAAATAGGTAACTTTGTGGCTTATGTCAGATTTAATAACATATATGTGTACTCTATAGAGATATAAGTAATATTTCCTTATAGGGATTAAGCAAAGATACGCTCGAGGCATCACAATTAAAATATAAAGTTTAATTTAATGGTTTCAATAATCGTTTGATTTTTCCGCCCCTTCAGAAAGAAAAAGAAAAGAAATAAAAATCTTTCCTCTTTCCTATCCAACCGATTTTCACTGTTGTAATTGTGCTCCGACTCAAGTAATAATCAACTGTATACTGGAACGCACCATTAATAATTTTCAATCCAAGGTATTTTATCCATATTTTTTAATTACGTTGCCACTGTTTTTTTTTTCTTTGGAACGGATTTGTCATATATGGTCCCCTCGAGTATTACTTCTCTTTGATTAGGATTTCATGAAAAGATAGTTTTAATTTTATTATCAAAACACCATTGTGTGACAGAGTCTTGATGTAGAGAGCGCGACTTCTTTTGGCAATGGCATTGAAAGGTTACTGTCCGATATTTATGTAAAAGTTGGATAGCGAGGGTCACTATTTAAAAAGCACTCAATCTGAAGATATTTTAAATATAAAAATTAGTTTTCTTGTAGAATTAAAAGTTAGACACAAAAATGAACTAAGTTTTATAAAATAAAGAATATAAAAGCGTGGATAGTTACATAATCAAGCGAGGAATAGACGCGCGATATTTGATGTCAGATTTCAAGTATTGGTCTGTTTTTATTATAGAGTCTCGAGGAGTAAACCACGAGGAAGAGGAGGAATACAATCACGTGAATGTGCTAACTGGCAGAGGAAGGAAGTAATGTTCTGTGTATAAAATAACATTTACGAGAAATCTTGGCTATACGAACTTTTTGTGGCTGCAGAAAGACGAGGTGGCTCAGGAACTCGACATTCGCGACTCTGAGCGGTTCTCAAGTGTCTTGTTATACAAGGGACAAACAGATCAAATATGGAGAGTGTGCGAAACGCACGGGGTTGACGGGTACGAAAGCGAACAAAGCTCCGATAAGAATTGACAACAAGAGAGGAGTTTTGCTGAAAACGTCCATAATTCCCCAAAAAACCCTGGACCTAATAATACGAAATTATGCGGGATATCGGAACGTCGAGCATTCAGTTTGGTCAACTATGGTATTTGGGGATATCTTTATCTCAGCAAAAATCAATATCTTTTAATGAAATAAACTGGATCTAAGAGCGAGGGAAAGTATGAAAAAATTTTAAACCGTAGAGTTAGACAATATTGGAAAACTGAATAAGCTAAGACTCCAAAAATTGAGAAACATGTAATTTAATTTTGTTCATTTTCATTCATTTTTTTACCAAAGTTTGCTTACCACCTTGTAATCAAAGCGACGCATAGATTAACTATTTCATTCAGTCAGGTCTTCTTATAACAAATCGAGGGGCGATGCTACACCAACCTTATTTAACTGGCGCTGGGATAAAAATAGTGCATTTTCAGCCACTCCTTTAACCTTTAGATTAGCACTAAATTGAAAAATCGAACCACCTCCTTGATCCTTATTTTGTTTTTTTTTTATTCATTTTCTAGTTTTTTTATGCATTGCAGGATGCTTTCAAACTAATTTGTTTTACATCAGGTATAGAAATGTGAATGCTCGTAACACGACATTTTTTTTTTTTTTTTTTTTTTAATGATTGGCAGGATGCTTCAAATAATTTGTTTTACACTCAGGTTAGATGTGAATGCGTAACACGCAGAGGTCCTACCATTATTGATTGATTTCATGATTCAATTTACTCATAAATATAAAATAAAATCAAAGGAAAAAAAAAAGTTTTATTGTCCACAAAACTTGACAGCAATGGAATATAATTTACCTTATGGCCTGGTATGCGACTTTAATTTTTTATAAATGTGAGAATATAAATTTGATTTTTGAGAAGTATATTATTGAAAGATCAAAAAATCTGCATGCTGTATTGTCTTGATGAAAATTATATTTCCTTTTTCTATAAAAAAAAAATTTATCATGACAAAAAAACTAATTTATCTCAAATCTAACTCTATACCAAATGAACAAAAAAAAAATCCCATCTTTTGGCAAAAAAAAGGTTGTCTAATACTTTTAACCAATAAAATTATTTGAAATTTAAAAATTGAAAAGAAAAATTATGTAAAAATATAGACATAATTTTAAAATATTACGGAAATGGTCCTCTCTTTTTTATTCATTAGAAGGCTCAATGGGCCAATATAACACTGTGGGCTACACAATATGAGGTGACTCTTCCTGGACCAAATTGGTGAAAACACTTATAGTCGAGGGGACTCGAACTCGAGATCTCCCACTACCCTCTCTTTCATTTAAAGAATAATTAAATGAAATATTTGCTTAAAAAATTATAGAATTAAAAAAATATTTGACTATATAAAATATTTGGTTTAAAAAATATTTATTTATTAATCATATAGTGCAAAGTTTGAGTGTTAGTTAAAAAAAACTAATTATTACACCGCTCTTAATTTAAGAGAGAAATTAAGTGTTATTCTTAAAAAGAGAGAAGAAAAAACACAGCCCCTCAATGAAATAAATAATTTATTTTTACAATCAAATATTAGAAACCTATATAATATAAAAGCATGATAGTCTGGGTTATATGGATATCAAGTGTAAGTAGCACAA